CTGCCCCCCCCCCAGCCACATGCGATGGAGGCGTTCCCGCGTGCCGTGCCGGGGCCCGTCCGTGCCCTGCCGCCCTTCCTCGATCTGGGGGAAGGTTGAGCCAGGTGGGAGCACACACCTGGGAGTGCCAGGTTGGGACAGGGCTGGCACAGTGCCCACCACATCCTTACCAGCTGGATGATCTGGTGGAGCTGTGTCAGGAGGTGCTGGGCGCTGTGCCGCGCTCGCTGCAGTTTGCCCAGCGAGCGCCGCAGGGTTCGGTCGCGCAGCTTGGCCGAGAGAGTGCCCACGCGGACAAAGTAGCTCTGCCGTCGCCCCAGTCGTGGTGGTGTGGCCACGTTCATGTCTGGGGCCACCTCCACACCTGCTGTCGTTGCTGTGGGAGCAGGAGCAAGGACAATGTGGCTGGAGCATCCTCACTGGGCACTGGAGGATCCCACACCAGTACTGGAACATTCCACACCAGCATTGAAGCATCCCCATCAGGCACTGGAGCATCCCATACCAGCACTGGATCACCCCACCAGGCACTGGAGCATCCCACACCAGCACTGGGTCACACCACACCAGTACTGGAGATCACACCACACCAGCACTGGAGCATCCCACACCAGCACTAGGATGATCCCCCCAAGCTCCACACCCCATCACAGGACACAGACACACCCACCCATGGGATGTTTGGCCAACAGGTCATGAGGAGGTGTCACCATAAAGTCAGGTGGTGTCTGTGGTCACCTCCACCATGACACAGAGCCAGCTCTGCCCACTGTCACCCTGTGCTGAGCTATAAATACCCAGACAGGCAGCACAGGGCTATATTTGCCTTCGGGTTTCCAGGTGAGAGTTCATCCAGTGCCATCCCATGTTCCCTAGACAGGGACTGTCCCCTGTGCAGTGTCACAGTGACCACAGTGCCCTGCCACCACCACGGGGTGTACAAGCAATGCCACAGCAGCACTGAGCAATGGGTTGGGGGTCTCAGGAAGGGCTGGCACCCCCAAATTTGGGAGATGGTGTCCAGCACAGCATGGTGGGCACTCACCCAGCTCCTCCTCTGTCCCAGGCAGGTACTGATCCACCAGCTGCTCTGACTTCCCCAGCACTGCCTCCACCCCCGAGGTCAGGAGCCGTCCCACACTGGAGCCCACCACGGTGCTGAGCACCCAGCGTGTCCTCTCCACTGCCCCACTCACCACGGAGGACACCAACTGCCTGGTCCCAGCCACCACCTGGCAGGAAAGAGCACAGGGAAGCTTTGGCTTTGGATGGATCCAGCACTGGACACCCCTCCCCATGTCCCCCAGGGTGACATTACCCCCTCAGGTCGCTGCTGCAGGATGGGCAAGTTCTCCTCCAGCTTGTCCAGACCTCTGCAGGCAATTTTGTTGGCAGTGGAAACTGGAGGTGTGAAAATAGGTGGGTTGAACACCCTGCTGGCCTTGCAGCAGGGCCAGGTTTATGGAGTACCCCAGAATTCATGGGGTTCTGCTTCCCCAGCTTCTCCTCCAGCTTCACTAGTCCTTTACTCATTGATGATATAAACTTGAGATGTCAAACCAGATCACTCCTTTCCTGCTGCCTTGCAGGAGCTCTGCTAGGGACAGTTTTTGGGTACCCCAAAAACTCACGAGGTGTTCTCTCTCCCCCTCCAGCTTCTCCTAGAGCCTCTCCAGCCCTTTGCAGATGTATTTGGTAGAGGTGGAAACTGGAGATGAAAAAACAGCTTTCCCCCCTCTTTGTAGGAGCTCTGCTAGGGCTGGTTTTCTAGCACACCAAAATTCATGGAGTGCTGCCTCCCCCACAGTTTTACCAACCCTTTATCCCTTGGCCATATAAACCAGAGACACAAACCCAGCTCATTCGTCTCCTGCTGCCTCCCAAGAGCTCTGTGAGAACCAGTTTGGGACACTCCAAAAATTCATGGGGTGCTGCCTCCTCCACAGTTTCACCAACCCTTTATCCCTTGGCCATATAAACCAGAGACACAAACCCAGCTCATTCGTCTCCTGCTGCCTCCCAAGAGCTCTGTGAGAACCAGTTTGGAGCACCCCAAAAATTCACAGGGTGCTGCACCTCATCATCCTCCTATAGCTTCTCCAGCCCTTTATCCCTTGGCTATATAAACCAGAGACACAAACCCAGAGGATTCCTCTCCTGCTGCCTCCCAAGAACTCTGTGAGAGCCACTTTTTGGGCACCCCAAAAATTCACAGGGTGCTGCCCATCATCTTCCCCCTACAGCTTTACAGAAAAAGGGTTGCCTTTATCCCTTGGCCATATAAACCAGAGACACAAACCCAGAGGATTCCTCTCCTGCTGTCTCCCAAGAGCTCTGTGAGAACCAGTTTGGAGCACCCCAAAAATTCACAGGGTGCTGCCCATCATCTTCCCCCTACAGCTTTACCAACCCTTTATCCTTTGGCCATATAAACCAGAGACACAAATCCAGATTATTCCTCCCAAGAGCTCTTGGAGAACCAGTTTTGGGGTCCCCCCAACGCCCCAGCACTCACTCTGTGGCTCCAGGCGGGTGAGGAGGGGTTGGGCCCCACTCACTGCTGCTGCTGTCAGGGTCTTCACTCCCTTCTCGGCAGCGTCGCAGACGGAGCGAACGTAGGGGTGACTCTCCTTGGTGGAGGGGTAGGCAGTGGACGACTCTCCTTGGTGGAGGTGTAGGCAGAGGCCACAGCCCCACAGGCACAGCTCACCAGGGCCAGGTTGGCCACACGGCTCACCACGTTCTGCTGGGGGGTGGCAGTGGGATGAGGTCCCCAGAAGTCCTCACAGCACCCCCAAAAACCCTCTGTGCAGCCCTACCTGCATCTCTGGGTCATCCTCTGCTGGCATGGTGGTGTTTCTGGTTGACATGGCAGC